AAAAAAAAACATGGAGTTATCTTGCAAAACCACAAATATCATATTCCTCCCCAATTAAAATCCTTTAATGATTCACCATGGCCTACTCAAGGTATACAAATTCTTCCTTTTCAGGCTCATGTCCTACCATTCCTTAACATAACACATGTGCTCTAGCTATTCTGAAGAACCTATAGTCCTAAACAAGAAATGCTTTTTCACACCTCATCTCTATATATTCTGAATAAAATTCCCCTCACTTTCTTGTCAATTCCTAGTTATTTTTTAAAATTAGCAGTTTGTGTGTTACTTCCTCTAAAAAAACTCTCCCTGTTCTCCATAGGCAATCAGGACTTCCCTCTTCTGTGGACCTATAGTAGCCCAAGCATATCTGTTAAATTATTCATTAATATAGTTAAATTTGTTTACACAGTTGTATTCTCAGTGAAGAGACTTCTCACTGGAGGCTCCTCAAGGAGAGGAACCATGTTTTATTCATCTTTGTATTCCCAATGCCTAGCACAGTGCCTGGCACTTTTGCTAAATATAAACAGTAGTCCAGAAGTCAGAAGCAAAATAAAGGTTATTGCAAGCTGGGAACAAATAAGGTAAGTCCTGGATGACTGCCATTAACAGTGGAAGGGTTTTGCCATGTGTCTTTATATGTTAGAAATACGTGGTGCAGAGATGGATCAAGCTAGCTTAAAAGGCACCATCCTCACAATGTCAGTCTTTCTTCCCAGTAAACAAGGCAGGGTTTGCTGAGTTTACCTGGTGAGACTCTGAGTATTCTGGGATCAGATTCTTAGGAATAGACTGAAGTCACATGAACTCCTCTCCTGGGTCATACCTACCCTCTCACTGTATCTGACATGCAGCTGGCAAAGGCATCAACAAGAGCTCAGCATATCTATCATGAACTCTAGTTCTCTGTATCAGGTTGATCAAAGGGCAGCGGGGTAAAAGAATGTGGGGGGATTTTATAAGTAAATATATGTGGCAGGTGTGTAGATGAACCAATCACTTTCACCATAAGAAGTAAGGAAGCCAAAGTATTCTACCATGATCTAGCTGATGATCTGTTGGGTGATGGGCGGTGACAAATAAATGTGGATATGTTAGGCAATAAACAATGCTTTCAAAAACTATGCTATGAATACAGATCTGTGGTTAGTGTACAAGTGGCAAAGTAACCTGTGGAGGCAGAAGAATTCTTAAATTCTTAAGTGGTAATGAATAAACTTAGATTCTACAGAGGCTGTGTTCTTGGTGAGAGCTTTTCTTATTACCAAAATCTCATGATGATCAGAGTCCCTTGAATAAACAGAATGATATGTAGTCAGAAGTGAATTAAATGGCTTTCTGGGTCTTTACCCTGAGCACATGTCATAGTTCATAATAAATATACAAATAGAATTACATGCTTACAAAACATCTTGTTGAAGAAACATTTTGAAGAGGATGTACTGACCTGACTTGGTGGCAAAATGGCAAGAAGCAAATGGCCATTGGAAAAGTACGTACCTGGTACTCCATATATGATACTTCAGAATCATCCCTGAAGAACTCTGGAAATAGTTGCCAAATGCTTATTCTTGCCTAAAAGAAGGCCAATTAGATGCAAAGTTGTTTTAAACTATAAGAAGTATATGGGGTTGAGTTCCATGAGTTGCAGCAGAGTCTAGTCAGGAATAAAAGAGAAAAAAAACCTGCATGCATAGTTAAATGTATAAAAATAAATTTCCAAACACATTTAAAAGAAAAAAAAAAAATAAAAGAGAAAGATGCAATTCAAAAGCCAGGGGGATCAAATATAAAGACTAATTCTAGAAACAGAATGAAGGTTCCTGTCACTGAGTTTAGTTTAGTGTCTGGTGAAAGGTAAAGAAGCAAAAATATCTTAGCAACAAGAAAAACTGTATTAGAATATTGGTGGTGTATCGGGGGTGGAGGGAGGGGTAGAACTGCAAAAGACAAAATGGGTGCTTATGGCTTTTATGATTCAGTGAGGATGTGGAGTTTATGTGGAATCTATGCCAAATATAAGGCATACATTCAGACCTTTTGGTAGAAGATCCATAGTACAGTAGAAAAAATACAATGGGAGTTAGACCAGGGTTCTAGTCTTAATACTGTAATCACTCAATGTCTTTAAGCCTGTTTTCACACATATAATTACATACAATGAGACGAATAATACTGGCTTGCCAATACCTCAGAGTCATTCAGAAAATCAAATGACATAATACAAATATATTATTATCATCATTATATACTTTAGTCAATCCTTTCAACCAAAACAAAACAATAAACTATTTTCACAAGACTTTTGGTACTTTTTTCAAACGTTCCAACACAAATAATCCCTCAGTTACATTTTTCTCCCTAGAGATCCCTTCCCATTCCTGCAGATAAAAATATAAACTGGGTATTTCTCTGATTCATTAGCTGTCATCCTGGGACTTCCCAGCATCTCTCTCCTGTGTTAGAGCCATGTTTCCCTTTCCTTGACTTATTCTTTTGTTTCACTGAAGCATTCTTTAGTAGTTCCCTTAAAAAGAGTATGCACGGCAAATAAATAATATAAAGACATAGATGTATTTTGAGCCCTTGCATGTCTGAAAATCTTTATCCTATTTGATTGGTATTTATAAATATATGTATATGTGTATGTGTGTATTTATATATGTTTGTGCCTATATATCCTATTAGATATGTTTTCTTTCAGAACTTTATAAATATTACTCTGTTTTCTAGACAACCAATGTAGCTGTGGACATATCATGTTGATTCCTATTCCTACTGTGTAAGTGACTTATTTTTCATTTGTTTTCTCCAGAAGCTTTTTTGGTACCTTAATGTTTAGCGTCTTTCCTAATCTCTAGTGTTCTGAAATTTCACAACAATGTGTCTTTGGGTAGATCTTTTTACCAGCATTGTACTAAGTACTCAGCAAGACCTTTTAATCTGGATACTCATGTTCTTCAATTCTAGAAAACTATTTTGTAATACTTATTTAATATTCCCAATATTTTTTTTTTTTTTTTTTTTTTTTTGCACCTGCTATTAGCTGGGTATTAGATCTCATAGCTTGATCTTAGTCTTCTACTGTTTTCATTTTTTTGGGGGGGGGGTCATTTTCCAGGTGATTTTTCCTAACTAGCTCTAAAGGTTTTTTCTTAACCTTTTTTTTTTACTGGTTGCCCTAGAGTGTACAATATACATTTACATCCAATCCAAGTTTATTTTCAAATAACAGTATACCACTTCATTAATAGTACAAGTATCTTATAACAAAAAATATTCCTAAGTCCTCCATCCTATCCCTTATGTCATTGCTGTCATTCTTTTCACTTTTACACAAGCTATAACCATCAAATACATTGTTGTTACTATTATCTTGAACAAGCTTTTATCTGTTAGATGAATGAGGAATAAGAGAAATACGTTTTTTACTTTCACTTATTCCTTCTCTATTGTTCTCCCTTTCTTCACATAGATCTGAGTTTCTGACACTATCATTTCCCTTCTCTCAAGAAATTTTTTTTAGGTTGTACAATGTGTTTTTATTTTATTTTAATTTTTTAAGGTTTTGTGCATATTCCAGTTAGTTAACATATAGTTAACTAACATATAACTCTCAAGAAATTCTTAACGTTTCTTATAAAACAGATCAACTGGCAACCAATCTTTCAATTTCTGCTTATCTGAGAAAATCTTTATTTCTCTTTCACTTTGAAGGAGGACACAGTAAGACAGAGAATTCCAGGTCAGTGGTTTTATTCTCTCAGTATTTTACTCCACTCTCTTGCTTGCATGGTTTACATGCAATTACATCCAAGATCAGGGTGCCAGCCCAGATGGGTTCTGGTGAGAACTTTCGTCCTAGTTTGCAGACAGTTGGCCACCTTTTTACTGTGTCCTCACATGGCACAGAGAGTGATAGCACCAGCAAGCTCTGGTGTAATGTAATTTGTATCTTTGCTCCTCTTATAGATAAGGTGGTTTCTATCAAGATATTTTATCTTTGATTTTCTGTAGTTTGAGTATGATATGTCTAGGTGGGGTTTGGTTTTTTGGGGGTTTTGTTGTTGTTGTTGTTTTGGCAATTATCATCCTTCGTGTTCCCTGAGATTCCTGGATCTGTGGTTTGGTGTCTGGCATTAATTTGGGGAAATGGAAATTCTTAGTCACTGCTTCAAGTATTTCTTCTGTTCTTTTCTCTTTCTTCTCTTTTTGGTATTCACATTACACATAAGTTACACTTCTTGTAATTGTTCCACAGTCCTTGGATATTTTGCTCAGTTTTTTTCAGTATTTTTTTCTCTTTGCGTTTCACTTTTGGAAGTTTCTATTAGCATATCCTCAAGCTCAGAAATTCTTTCCTCAGCTGTGTCAATTCTATTAATGAATCCATTAGATGCACTCTTCCTTTCTGTTACATTCTTTTATTTCCAACACTTCTTTTTTTATTCTTTCTTACTATTTCCATCTCTCTGCTTACACTACCCATCTGTTCTTGTTATATTGTCTACTTTTTCCATTACAGCCTCCCACATATCAGTTACAGTTGTTTAAAATTCCTAGTCTGATAATTCCAACATCCCTGCTATATCTGGACCTCTGGTGCTGTCTCCTCAAATTATGTTTTCTCCCTTTTAGTATGCCTTATAGTTTTTTGTTGAAAGCCTAACATGACCTACTTGGTAAAAGAAACTCTGGTACACAGGCCTTTGATGACATGGTGGTAAGGTCTAAGGGGAGGAGAAGGATTCTACAGTCCTATTATTAGGTCTCAGTCTTTTCAGGAGCCTGCAATGCTGAGCTGTGAATTTCACCAGTGTTTCTCCGATTCTTCCCCTGCTGAGGTGGGATGGGATGCCTCCAGGCGGCTAAAGCTGGGTATTTCCCTTGGCCCATGTTGATTAGTCTATGATAAAATACCAACAGGGTTAGGTTCTGGTAAAATTTTTTAATTTTTTTTTTTTTTTTTGGGAGAAAGAGAGTCTTAAGCAGGCTCCACGCCCAGTGCAGGGCCCAAGGCAGGGCTTGATCTCACAACCCTGAGATCATGACCTAATCCGAAATCAAGAATCAGATGTTTAACCAACTGAACCACCCAGATGCCCCATCTTGAGGGCAGAATTTTTAAGACAGGATGCTCTCACATATTTCAAAAAAATTTTTTTCCCCCCTGCCAGAATCACAAAGGAATTTTTCTTCAATATTCACTGTGAGAACCTGGTAGAGCTCCCAGAGGTGGAACTCATGAAAGTGTGGGGGCCTGCTATGGACTGAATGATGTTCCACCAAAATCATATAATGAAGCCCCAATCCCCCATGTGATGGTATTTCAAAATGGGTCCTTTGGGAGATAATCAGGATTCGATGAGGTGAGGTCAAGAGAGTGCAGCCCTCATGATGGGATCAGTGCCCTTAAAAGAAGAGATGCTACAGCAAAAAGGTGGCCCACTGTCTGCAAGCTAGGAAGAAAGTTCTCGCCAGAAACCACCCAGGATGGCACCCTCATCTTGGGACTTCCAGCCTCCAGAACTATGAGAAAATAAATGGCCACTGTATAAGCCACCCAGTCCACGGGATTTTGCTTTGGCAGTTCACACTAAGACAGGGCCCCCTAATTAGTGGGTCCCCCTACTTATTGACACAGTGCCTCCAGCAATTCTTCAATTACACTTTAGGTTTTCCCATCCCATCCCAGTACTGGTACCTGCAGAGGTTTCTGCTTATTGGTTTCTGCTCCATAAGTGATTCTTCGTATCAATCCCTCTGACTCTACAATTTTGGGTGTAGAAGTTTGCCACGTGACCTCACTTCTCTGACAGATTTGAGTTGTTGATTTTTCAGTTTGTTCAGCTTTTTACTTGTTAGGATGGAATTACTAATTCCATTACATGCTAGACTAGAAACCAGAAGCCGAGAGTTTTATTTTTAAAATTTTAAACTACCACATATGTATATTTTTTGTTACTAGGAGCACTTTCTTATTCTCTGATCATTCTTCTTCATGGCATCTCTTTGTTTTATGAATTCAATATCTCTCATCTCTCTGAGGTAACTAATTACATTTTTTTAAAGTTTTCTTCCGTTGTCCACATTGCCTCGGTTTTCCACAGATCTCTTTTTTCATTTAATCTAGTTTTCATGTTGGAAGGTTTCCTCAAATGTCTAGTGATCCTTAACTGTCTTTTCTTACTTATGTATTTGTTAATAAAAAATACTTACGTATTTGATATTATAGGGACTATGGACACAACAGTGAACAAAACAAATCTCCACCCTCATGAAGCTTCCATTCTAGTGAGATGATTCCAAAAAAAAAAAGACAAATATGGGTGATGAGAGAGTGATAGAAGGTAGCAATGTGTGCCATGAAGAAAAATAAATTACAGTACATGGGGAATAAGTGCTGGAGGCTATTGTTATGTAATGTTGGATCGTTACAGAAGACATCTCTTATAAGGTAAGAGATGTGCCCGGTATTCCCAAATCCATCTTCCCAGATGAATGTCTCCAGAAACAAACCTCCAGCCTTCTCCATCGGAGAACTGTAGGGTGAATTTCCCTGAATGTTCAGAATAGAGAAGAGAACCCAAGGAAGTTCTAACAGATTTGCATATGAACTTTCAACAATTTTTTCTCCTTCCACACTCTGCTCTTGCTGTGCACCAATACCTGATGCTTCCAAGTA